TGGAACCTCCGGGCTGAGGTTTCCATGGTGGCCCCACTCTGCTGCTCTTCCCATTGGCCAGGAGTACTGCTCCAGCTTTAGCAACAGAGGCTCAGATACCCATCTCCTTCCTGATTGGCCAGGCTGTGCTGCAGCGCCATGGCAACAGGGGCAGAGGGACCAGTCTCTGCAGAACTTGAGTCACCATCTACCTGGGGTGGAGCTGAGATCAGAAGGGGTGCAGGGGATGCAAAAGGAACAGGTAGCCCCCACCTCAGCTTGCAGTCAGGTGGGGAACCCTCCTCCATGTGTTGCCCAGGGGTTTGGGAGGCTGGTAGGCTTCATCTCTTTATCTCATCCGTCTTGTATCTGACAGCTTCTTCCCTGCCTTTCTCTTGCCCCCGGGGCTCCTGTCTCCTGCAGAAGAAAAAAACCAAGCCTCTGGCAGTGCCAGAGGTTAACTCATTTGCCCAGAATCATGCACATTGCAATCTAGGATTTGAACTCATATTATATTGCTTAATTTAAAAGCTTTGGAGGGTTTTTGCTAGAGAATCCAGGGCTTTTTTTTAAATAGACTTTTTTAGAGCAATTTTGGGTTCACAGCAAAATTGAACAGAAGGTTACAGGGATTTCCCATAGTCCTTTCAGTTTTAATAGTTTTATTCATCAGACAGCTAATGCTTTCCAAAGCATTCTTGCATCTGAATCATTATCTGATCCTCCAACCACCCTGTGAGTTGGTAATTCAGGGACGAATGACCCATTTTATAGATGAGGACACCAGACATAGCCCAGAGAGGGCAAGTGATTTATTCCATGTCACACAGCGTATTAGTGCCAGAGCTGGGCCTCCAACCCTGGCCTCCTAAATCCTTACCAGGGCTCTACCTCCAAACCATTGCCTTATCCATACCAGGGGGCCTCCAGGAGGGTTGAAGGACTGCTCTGAAGGGTCCTCTCATAAGGCCTGAGAACAGTGCTAAGTAGAATCAGGCATTCCAATGTTTCCAACATGGACCAAGGGGTTCACACTGTAAACCTAGTCCCTGCCAGGCAACCCCTAAATGTGGCTCCAATCCCCAGGAACGGTCCATGTCTCACTCAAACCTTGCTCTCCACACACTGCTCCCCCCACCCCAACCACTGCCAGCACACGGATAGGTGAAGAAATTCTCACAAACTGAACTACAATCCATTTATCGTTTCTGTTGCTTGAAACTGTGCTGAGCACGCGCGATCTCATTGACTCCTCATCACAACCTTAGACGTTTGGTCTTCATTGTGCACCATCTGTAGATGCAGAAGCTGGTGCTCAGGAAGGTTAGGTAGCGTGCCAAAGTCACATACTTACTCAGTACTGCAGCCAGAATTTCAGCATGGGACCACCTGGCTTGAGAGCAGCCTGGCCAGGACGGCGGTGATACGCACGCTGCCCCTGCAGAATGCAGCATGGTAATTTGACGGGGCATCTGAGAGCATCTTTTGCTCTTGGCTGTGCAGTTTTTCCTCAGTTGCGACTGTGGCTTTACATATTTTTTGGCGCTGGAGAAAGCAGGCTCAGAGGATCTGCTTTGTGTTAGGGACTCGGAAACCCTTGGCCCCTGAGAAGTGACTCAGTGTCCTCGACACTGTCTCCCATTGCCTAGATTCTCAGCTTTGTGATCTTTCAGGAGAGCATGGCTGGGCTGCCGGTAATCGGCAACAGAGGAAGAAAGCCAGTGACCTCCTTGGTCTGAATCTGAGCCCCTGCTGAAAATGAACGTTTTGGCAATTTCCCATCATTCCTGCTCAACTTGGGCTCCCTGAAGCTCTTGTCCCTGACACAAACCCAGACACCTGGCCTGCCTTCCTGACCTCCTAAGGACATTGGTTTTGGAGGACTCAGCAAGGTGGGAGCTCACGCCTGCCACTCTGCCCTCCGAAGTGCCGCACCAGCAAGGGGCAGGCACATGATTTCACAACCACCACCACCAATCTGTGGCATCTTCCCTGTGTCAGACCCCACACGGGTTCTAGGGAGATGGCAGGTAACAAACCATTAGGACCCTTGGCCTCATGGAGCCTGCTGCCTGGTGGAAGAGATGGACAACAAGTCTGTGAGTGAATACATCGTGATTTCAGATGGTGACACACGCTCAGGAAGGATGAAACAGGATAATGGGATAGAGAGCGATTGGTGGGGAGTGTGCTGTTTTGGCCAGGATGGTCAAGAAAGGACTCTCTCGGAGGAGGTGACATCTGAGCAGGTACCTGAATGAAGAGGAGGCAGTTGCAGGTTATTGATGTCCACGTAACAAACCCAAACTGTGTAACAAACCCCCAAACTTAGTGGCTTATAACAACCATTTATTATTTCTCATGAGCCTGCGGTTGGCCTGGGTGGTTCCTCTGCCCGTTTCTCCTGCATGCAGCTGGAGGCACAGCTGGGCTGGAAGGTCCAAGAAGGCCTCACTCAGCCTTCTAGTAGTTGGTGCTGGTTGTTGGCTGGGGCCCCTCAGCCCCCTGTCAGACAGCCTCTCATCCTGCAGTTGGCCTTACATGGTGAGCTAGGGGCAGCATTCTAAGAGGGGGAAGGCAAAAGCTGCACGGCCTCTTTAGGCTTAGGCTCTGACCTCATAAAGGGTCACTTCTGCCACATTCTGTTGTCCAAGCAAGTCACACGGCCAGCCTGGATTCAAGGGCTGGGGAGAGACACCACCTCTTGAAGGGGTGAGTGGCAAAATATTTATGGTCAGATTTAATCTGCTACATCATCCAAGTAAAGATCTTTGGGAAGAGTACCTTGGGCAGAGGGAAGAGCAGGTGCAAAGGCCCCGGGGTAGGATGGAGTCCAGAGACCTGAACCACAAACTAATGGTTCCTCCACTTCCTTTGTTTGCTGTTCTGTCAGGTGGGAATTAAAGATGCTTCCCTGTCATCCATAGAGGATGTAGGAGGCTTTGCTTCAGGGCAGGGTTAGGATTTCCGTTACTGACCTCTGAGAGGAGGAGGAGGAGAAGCAGACACAGGAGCTTGGTTTGGTATCCTCCAAACTCACTGGCATTTGTTGAGCACCATCTGGCAGGAAGGTACTGTGCTGGGCACTGCAGGTCACAGGAGAGTCTGACAGGTGCTGCTCTTGCTGAGCTTATGGGCTGAAAATGTTGCTCACTACGCTGGATGATAACTGAACTGGCAGGACTGGGCCCTGGGGAAGGCCTAGAGGAGGTAGGATTCCAACAGGGCCTTGGAGGGCATGTAGGATTTAGCTGAAGGAGGGAAACTCTTGATAGCAGAGGTGCAAGGGGGCTGTGGAATTTAGCAGTCCAATGTAATAAATGTTTGAGGAGCCTCTACTCTGCACCGAGTGAACGAGACAGGCAGAGGACCTGCCCCGGGCACAGTGGGAACCCAGGGGAGGTACCACCCAGGCTTGGAGAGTCAGGAAGCCTTCCAGGAGAAAACAGCAATGCTGGAGAAGCCTGAGGATGGGTCGGGTCAAGCTCAGTGGGGCAGCGACAGGAGGAAGAGGTACCGAGAAGGTCCCAGTGGAAAGCATAGCATTTACAAAGGCCAGAGCAGAGGGAGAGCTTGGGATTCTCAAGAAAAGGCAACAAGTTGTGTCTGAAGCAGGGAGTTTATGTGCAAGAGAGGGAAAGGATGAGCTTGGGGCCACAGTGGGCCTCGTGGGCTGATGAGAGACTCTGACCTTTTTCCTGAAGGCTGTTTGTGTAGGATTGCCAGATTTAGCAAATAAAAATACAGGTTGTCCTGTTAACTTGGAATTTCAGATAAACAATGAAGAATTTTTTAAAAAATATTTTATTTATTTATTTGAGAGAGAGAGAGTGAGAGGGACAGCACAAGCGGGGGGTGGGGGGAGAGCGACATGAGGCTTGATCCCAGGACCCTGGGATCATGACCTGAGCCAAAGGCAGACACTTAACCAACTGAGCCACCCAGGCACCCCAAACAATGAAGAATTTTTTAGTGTAATTATGTGCATGCAATATTTGAAACATTCTTATACTGAAAAATCATTTGTTCTTTATCTGCAATTCAGTTTTAACTGGGCCTCCTGCATTTTTTCTGGCAACCCTAAGTGTGGGACCACCGAAGGGTTTTAAGCAGGGGATGCCGTGGTCGGATTTACACTTTGGGAAGCTCCCAGGATTTGCAGGGAAACATACAGGAGGGAGACCAGGAAAGGGTGGAGGATGAGGGTCCTGCTTTGTCTAGCACCCATCAGGGAATGGGGGCATCTCCTCATCATCACTGGTGGGGAAGGCAGGCGGGCAACTGCAGGCCAGGTCAGACCCCAGCTCTGCTGTGTGAGCCTCTGCTCCCTCTCGGGCCCTCGGCATCCTCGTCTGTCTAATGAGGGGGTCAGTCCTTGTGGACCCTCAGGTCTCCTCTCTCCAACCTCAGGCCCCGCACCTGGTTTGGGAGAAGCATTTACCGAGGTCCTAGTATGTGCTGAGCTGGGTCCTCTATCTAGATCACTTGTTTTATTGAATCCTCTCACAACAACCCCTCAAGGAAGGTATCATGCCCATTTCACAGATCAGAGAACAGAGGCTCAGTGGTGCAGCTGCTCCCCGGTCACATAGCGGCACAGTGCCAACGTGGAGTGGAGTCCAGGTCTGGCTGGCGCCAGGGTTCACCCTCCCACTGTCTCCAGGAAATCTCCCCGGGAGCCCCTAATCCCCCATATGTTTATCGCTTGGGCTCAGTCAGCAGTCTCCTTGTCCCCCTGCAGGCAAATGCTGCGCTGGCTCTTTCTGAGTTAAGCCAGGGACTAAAACGGGCCAGTGTAATGCTCCTCTGCTGGGGGCTTTCCGGCTTATGCACCCCTTTTCCATCTCTGCCTTCCCCACGACCCATGGAGATGCAGCACAGCCCCCTCCAGCTCCTCTAGCCCGCAGCTCTGCCGCAGTGGAGTCCACATTAAATATTAACGGTGACGTCAGTTGCCGGGCTGCTTGGTGAGGGCCACGGCTGCCTTTCCAAGGTGAAACAGTGACCGGAATTCAGCCGGCTCAAATGGCATCCCAGGGGGCTGGCTGCCAGGACTCAGAGAAGATGCTGCTAATGTAAGGCATGGCAGGACTCCAAAAGCTTTCCTCCCATCTCCCCGGCTCCTCAGGGCCTAGGTGGCATCCTGATGCTGACATGAGGCATTCAGTCATCCGGCAAGTATTGATTGAGCACCTGCTGTATGCCAAGCACAGTGCTAGGCTCTGGGGATACAGTTCTTAAGTGTGACCTTGCCTCCTGGGGCTCCCTCCCCCACTGGCTGGCAGAGGAAGGGAGAAAAAGTCTCAATGCAGAGGGCCAGGGCAGGTGCCCGGCCCAGCCTGAGGCTGAGGGATCCTTCCAGAGAAGCCAGGGTTAACGCTGAAACCTGAAGAAGGAACCCAAGTTAGGCGTGGAAAGAGGCGGGTAAGTGTGCCAGGCAGAGGGAACAGGCTCAGAGCTCAGATCCTGGTTCTGACTCTTCCCAGCCATTTATCTGCAAATTGAGTTCCCACCTCACAGGGTTCTTTTGAAGACTAGATGCGGCCATGGCTGGTGATAGTACAGGGCTTGGGGCATCACAAGAGCTCAGGGGTAGCTGTTAGGAAAACAGCCTCATGTAATCCCTTTGCTCTGCCAGGAATCCTTACCCCCATTTGGTGAGTAGGGAAAGTGCCGCTCAGAGGGGAGACCTGACATGCCTGGGGTTATACTGTGGATTAGACCCCAGGCTGGACACATGACCCCAGAGGGGTCTGGGGTCTCATCCTCCATCCACAGAGCTATGGCAAAGGAATTATGTTTACTTCCATATTAAAGATGAGGAACCAGTCTGAGAGGGGCAAAGTGACAGGCATGAGGCCACAGAGTGAGTGGACGCTGGATTTGGAACCATGTGCGGCTGTCTCGGAGAGCTAGAAAGCCAGCCTGAGTTGTCTCTAAGACCCTTATTGTGAGTCTGTGATCCTGTGAGTTCCTGGATGCCCCCAGGCCTTTAGGGCCCAGCGATTTCATGGGGAGGGCATTTCAGGCTGGGCTGATCTGCCAACTGTCCCAGGAGGCAGCACCCACTCTTTCCCTCAGCAAAACCTCATTCCTCTGGCGGAAGCCCGGGGCGTCTAGCGTGAACAGCAAGCACTGTTGCAACAGGCCCATCTTATGGAGGAGGAAACCGAAGCTCAGAGAGGTGCAGCCCCTTGCCCAGGCTTCCCCAGCTACTGGGGAATTGCCAGAGTTTGAGGAGGGTCTGAGAAACTGCCCCATTCAACCCAGGAGCCCTTCTCTGCCTTTCAGCCTCCTCTGACCGGCAATCTCGCCTTCCTCCCCCTTGCTCACTCCCTTAGCTTACCTTCCCCCAAGCTGTCAGTTATTCAGTTGGCTGTCAGCCGATTAAAAGTGCCCCGCCTCCTGCGAGACTTTGCCACTCACCAAGAGGACTCTAGTGGTGGAATTTCTGCAGTATGCACAAGTTGTGATCAGATTCAATTCAGCACTCACTCGTGGAGAGGTGTGCCCCGGGGGGTGGGGGCTCAGATGAGGAATGATTCCCCAGTGTTTACATTCTGCAAGGGAAATGGCGACTTCCTTAGAAAGTGGGAAGCAGGTGGTGTAAGTGGCAAAGAGCGTGAACTTGACAGTCAGAAAGACCTGGGTGTGGGGCGCCTGGGTGGCTCAGTCGTTAAGTGTCTGCCTTCGGCTCAGGTCATGATCCCAGGGCCCTGGGATCGAGCCCCGCATCGGGCTCCCTGCTCCATGGGAAGCCTGCTTCTCCCTCTCCCACTCCCCCTGCTTGTGTTCCCTCTCTCGCTGTGTCTCTCTGTCAAATAAATAAATAAATCTTAAAAAAAAAGAAAGAAAGAAAGACCTGGGTGCACATGCTCCATGACCGTGGGTAAGTGAGCTTCAGTTTCCCCATCCGTTTGAGTGGGTATAAGAGGAATCCCCACCTCATCATTGTCACGAGGATTAAATGAGATCATATGTGAAATTGCATAGCATCGTGCTCGGTGCTTAACAGCTGGCCAGCACACATCAGCCTTACCAAAATAACTCCATGCACGTGGTGGATACCAGAGTCCCTGGGGGAGCGGGCAGAGGGGAGAGTGCTTCCTGATGGAGAACCTGGAAGGCTCCCTTGAGGAGGTGAGGTCTCTGCTGGCCATTAAGGGACTTTGAAGCAGAGGAAGAGGCAGCAGGATGGGAAAGGACATTCTAGTTGGTAGAAACTTGTGGGCGGAGGCTGGGAACGTGGTGAACCTAGGATGCTCAGGGAGTAGGTGATGAGCTTGGAAAGGCGGCCCAGGGGCACGTGATGAAAGGCCAGGAGGGAGGAGCTTATATCTTTTAAGCAGGAAAGGGTCCTATCTATGACTCCAGTGGGTCTGCCGTGGGTCTGTGTCTCCCGTGTGTGCAGAGGCCAGGCCCCTGGGGTCAGCCTTCTCCTATGGCTTTGGTCCTCCCGGGTCCCTCTGTTGTTTCCCGAGTGGGGACCAGCCTGCCACTGTTGTCTGGAAGAAGACAGAAGGCTGTCGCAATCTGCTCACCTCCTACTAACATACTAGGTAGGAAAAGATGTTTTTTTTTTTAGCACAGTTGCCTGGCAGGAAACCTCTGTGGAAACTCAGCAACCCCCTTGCTTACTTCCCGGGGTATGGCTTAGGTAGCAGTGGAGGACGGTTATGCTCACAGCTCAACAACCAAAAGGCTCTCAGGAGATCAGGGGCCACAGCGGGAAGAATGAAGGTGGAGTGGGTCTGGATGCAGGCTCCTGACCCCTGCTGTCTGTGCTGCACTTGAGCAAGACACTTGACCTCCCTGGGCCTCAGTTTCCTCATCTGTAAAATCGGAACTACAATACTGACCTTACCTGAACTGAGTGGGCGTGCACTGCCCCCCCACCGCCCGGCCTGCCATGGAGTAGGTCCCTGTTACCCTCCTCCACCAGTTTCGAGTCGGGGTCCAAACACTGGACCTTTGAAGCAGCCCCGTTTCATCCTCTCGAGTTGCCATGCTGTTGTTTGCCGAACCTCCAACAGTGAAATACCCTAGGCCTTCAGGGCTGGAAGAAAGAAGGAACTCTACCATCCTGTCAGTGCAGACTCCCATTTCACAGACAAGAAGTCCAAGGCTCAGAGAGGGGAAGTCACAGCACCACACGCGCCACACAGCCCCTCCCACCTGGTTCCACCTCAGTGGGAATCACACAGAAGCTTGAGACAATTACCCAGATGGTTCCAGTCAAAGGATCTAGAAAATTCTGGTGAAGAAACACAAGCTCCTCGACCATCTGCAGAACTGAAGCAAAAAAAGCCTTTTTTTTTTTTTTTTTTGCCCTTATTCTCACTGTGGTTCCATGGGGGACGGCTTCACTGTCTTCCCTCAGAGCTGAACTCCTCTGAACCAGCTTGCAGGGGGCGGGTGCTGAGAATGGGCTCTGAGCTCCACCGGCTCACAGATTGCAGCTACCAGGACATTTTCACACTTCGGAATACCAAAAGCTGCCTTGGGGAGCCAATTGCTCCCAAAGTGGGCTTTGACAGAGTGGTGAAGGGCTCTGGATGGTCCTGAGGTCTGTGGGCTCAGGCTGGTCTCAGACACAGAGCAGTGGGCGGGACGGGGTGGGGTGCAATTTGGTATTAGCAAAAGGACCCCGAGGCCACAGCAAGTGGCAGAATGTGGGTGTGAGTGGGAGGCTGCAGGTGACCTTTCTAGGTCTCATTTTCCTCATCCATATAATGGGGATAACAACCTCCTTCCACGAGTTGTAAGAATTTGGCGAGATAATATAAGGGGGGAAAATGTCGACCCTTGGGCAGCTACCGTTGATGCTGTTGATGGTGGTGTTATCACTGGTTTAGGATCAGCAAGGTTACCTGGGCAGCAAGAGGCCTGCATTTGGTGGGGAAAAACCCTACAATCCTATGTGGGTGACACTAATCTGTGGGCAGGTGGCCCCTCCTGCTTAAGATGGTAACCATGCCAACAGGGTGAAGGCCATCTCACCAGAATAATACCAGGTCTCCTCTGTAGTATGTCCCTTGGTGTCCAGACTTCTCAGGGACCTCAGAGTGTCCCAGAGTACCCGAGGGAAAAAAAAACAAACCAGGACGTGCCTTTTCTGGGTCACCTATTCACTGAGCTCTGGTAGCGGGTTCTGGCATTGCTTTGGAAATCCAGTCCTGCAGGAGGAACAGTCGTTACCCCCGGCTCAGGGTGGGACGCAGCAAGGAATTATTCGTTCTATGGTCGTGATGGCTGTTGCCTCCTGTGTGTCGCCACCGTGCAGGTGAGGAATATACGTGCTCTTGCCGATCCCCAACCCAAAGAAATAGGTGTGGTTAGTCCTGTTTTAGGGACTTGCCCAAAGGTACCCAGCTGGTAACTGGCAGGGTAGAATTTGAAACTAATTGCAGATCCTTGGGGCGCCTGGGTGGGTCAGTCGTTAAGCATCTGCCTTCGGCTCAGGTCATGATCTAATCTCTCCAAAAGCTGGAAGGAAACATAGAAATCTCCCAGCGCTGGCGCTCCTCCCACCTCTCACTGGAACGCCATTTTCATGGGGGGGGGGGACAATTAATTATCATCTATCATGCTCTTTAAAGATATCCACCGGGGGAAAGATCAGCCTAGTTTGTTAACCTCAATTCCATTTGTAGTTAGCTGCAGATCCTTCTTCCCCATCATACCACTCACAAGTCCTCAGGTAGCCAGGGGCAGATTGCTCTGTTCCCGGAGCAAGAGACCCTGTACCGGACGAAGCCGCGGCAGACGTCACCTCTGCACTGAGGATTTGCTCTGAGCTCTGGGCAACACGGTGTGTTTGGCCTTCATGGTTAGTCCCCTTGACCTGGCTCAGGGGCTCTCTCTGGAGTTGTTCAAAGAGAACAACTTTATTGGTGGGACTTAGAGCCCTGGGAGTAGATGTCCTGTCCAAGGCAGCTGTCCTGGGCTTTATTTGTAAGGCTTGAGTTGGCAGCCCTTTCCGAAGGGTGAAAATGGGTGCTGGTCAGAGTGTGTAGCCTCCAGGTAGGGAGGCTTGTGTGTACTTTTTACAATCTGAATGACCCTGGAAGGGAGTCACACCTTCTCAGCTAACACCAAAAGGCAGTGTTGGGCCATCAGGTTTGGGAGTCTGACAGACCTGAGTTCAAATCCTGACTCTGATGATTACCAGCTGTGACTATTCAAATCATGGAACATTTAAATTTATTTTTTATTACGTTCAGTTAGCCAACATATAGTACATTAGTTTTTTTGTTTTTAAAGATTTTATTTATTTATTTGAGAGAGAGAATGAGAGATAGAGAGCACGAGAGGGAAGAGGGTCAGAGGGAGAGGCAGACTCCCTGCTGAGCAGGGAGCCCGATGCGGGACTCGATCCCGGGACTCCAGGATCATGACCTGAGCCGAAGGCAGTCGCCCAACCAACTGAGCCACCCAGGCGCCCGTACCTCATTAGTTTTTGATGTAGTGTTCAATGATTCATTAGTTGCATGTAACACCCCAAATCATGGAACATTTTTAAGCCAGTTTCCCCATCTGTAAGATGGGAATGGAAATTGTACCTACCTTACGGGGCGGGGGGGAATCTTGAGGGAAAAAAATATACCCATTTCTGCAAAGCTCCTTGCCCAGAGCTGGGAATGGGGCATATGTTCCCTCAAGAGTGGGTGTGGATGGAGTCCCCCAGGATAGAACAGAGTGAGAAAAGCAGAGGGCCTGGGGCAGAACCCCAGTATTTCAGGGTAGGCTGAGAAGACAAGCCCATGCAGGAGACCAGAGAAGGGGAGCAGTGGGGCAGCAGAGGGAAGCCAGGAGGGTGCAGCGTCATGGAGGTTTGGAGGACAGCCTGTGTAGGAAGGGAGAGCAGTTGTGCCCAGGGTGGTCAAGGGGGCCAGGAAGGTGAGAACTATGAAATGACCTTGGACTGGCAACAGGAGGCTACTTGCTGGTGGCCACAGTGAGAGGCATCTAGGTGAAGGACTAGGGGCAGACAGACCCAGAGTACCCTGGACTGAGAGGTGGGTGGGAGGTGAGGAAGTGGAGACAGTGAACTTTGGTGAGAAGAAAAGCTTCATGGGAGAACCCAAGTGTCCCCCATTGACATTTATTAGAATTAGAATGCCCTATTCTACCTAATTTTCACTGTTTTGAAATCAGTCTGAGTCCAGCATGATCAGAAAAGCTGGAAGGGCTCTAATCTCTCCAAAAGCTGGAAGGAAACATAGAAATCTCCCAGCGCTGGCGCTCCTCCCACCTCTCACTGGAACGCCATTTTCATGGGGGGGGGGGGACAATTAATTATCATCTATCATGCTCTTTAAAGATATCCACCGGGGGAAAGATCAGCCTAGTTTGTTAACCTCAATTCCATTTGTAGTTAGCAAAGGTGACTCTTCAAAGCATGGTGAAACTTGCGGTGGGGGCCTCTGCTCAGACTCACACTGAGATCCTGTTTCATGGGTACTGAGATCCTCATTTTAGTGTCACAGCAGGGAGAAGGCCCAGAGACAGGAGACCTACCTAGTATGGAGACCCCAGCTCTGCTCACTCACTGTGCAAACTGGGGCTAGCCTCTCCTCTTCCTCAGACCTCAGTTTCTCCTTATATGGGATAAAGGGTTGGATGACAGTGACTCTAAATGTCCTACCACCTTGGACATTTCAGGATTTCTATTCTACGGTGCATTTAATAGTCCTTTGAGTCCAATTGCTAGATGGTAAAACTAAGGTCCAGTCCCTCACTTCTCCCTTCAAATACATCTTACTCTCCAGAGCAAGATTCTTGGCTTGAAATGGGACTTCCACACCTCTTCTGGTTCCCAATTACCTAAGGATAATGACTCAAATCTTCAGGTTGGCATTTAAAACACTCCATTATCTCGTTTTGCCCAACCTCATTTCCCACTGCCAGGCCTTTCTTCTCACTGTCTCTCAGATTTTGTTTCTGTCCTCACTGCTAAGCCTTTGTCTGTGCTGGACCCCACTCCCTAATACTTTTTCCCTGACTTTCATCTCCTTCAAAGTCCAGCTTACCTGCACTTGCGTATTTAGATCTGGCTTATGAGACAAGAGGATGTATCTTATTCTATGGCTACTCTTTCCCCCAGGACTCTTTCCCCCTGATAAAATTCGCAGAGAGCCTAAGGTCCCTTCTCCTGTGCTGCCCTTGGCGTGTTGTACTTAAGTGAGGCTATGTTTTAGTCATTGGGATTTTCCTAGTTTGTCCAAGGCCCAGCCCAGGGCCTAGCATGAGGGACCCTCAGCATAGAATGCCACAACAGGGATGGGCTTAGTGACCAGTCAGTCCATCCACCCCCCCTCTTTGCCACAGAAGGAAGTTCAGCCTGGGTTTGAACTCAGATCCTGGCTCCACCAATTACCAGCTGTGTAACCTTGAGTAAGTCACTAATCTGGCTTTGAAAAATGGGGAGACCAGGTGTGCCCACCTGCGGGGTGGGCTGTGAGGACTAAATATGTTCATACCTATACCGGCCTACCACTGGGCTGGCTCCTAGTAGATATATCATGTTACTCATCGCATCCAGGCCATCCTGTCCCTCCTCTCATGGAAGGCACAGTAGGCCCAAAGTCAACTGTCAAGGTGGGAGCACAGCTCTGCAGCCCGATGGGTGTGAAATGTGTGTTTGGGAGTGGCAGGTGGGGTGTCTGGACAAAGTCCAAACCCGATCCTGCCCTGGCCAGTACCGATCCAAGCAGAGGGTGCGTCCCCAAGGAGCCCATGGGCCAGCCTGGGGTGAAGGCTGGCGAGACGGCGTGGGCGGTCCCGGCCCGCCCCCCGGGGCACACGGCCTCCTGGCTTTTCCAAACAGTAGGGTTATTTGATTTTTGGGTCCTTCTGCAGCCACACCTCCAACCTGGCCTCAGAGACGCGCTCGAGGAGGAGCTGTGACACTGAGCTACCTACGCAACCGCCATCACCGCGCCCCCCTCCTCCGGCTCCGCAGTCCCCACCCCACTCTCCCTTCTCCCACCTCCACCTATGCGGCG